TTTACTTATTTATTAAAATATACTTTCATTAAATTGAATGATCAAGCAATTTTATTAACTCGGTGTTATTATTATTGTTGTTGTTGTTATTCGGAATACAAGGTTACACTGGGATTCAAAGAATTCAGCCAATGAAATTTTTTTATTTTTATTCGTATAAATAGTGATAAAAGAAAATTTTCTAAAGTTCTTTCACATTTAATTGATCTAGCAGAAGTGGAAGTTTCTGAAAAAGTAACAAATTCAATATTAATATTAGTATCACCTAAAATAATTAATCAAAATATAAATATAGGAACATATGTACATACATATATAAAAAATAAAATCCTCATCTATTATTCTAATTGCAAATAGTAGTATTATATTTAATTTGGTATGTGCGAGTTAAGGTTGCTTCCTAAAACCTCTTAGTGACTGCCAAAACCCTAATTAACAATTAGTGTGTACCTTGCCGAAACTCTGCCGATTGCCAAAACCCCAAACGACGAAACAATTATCCAAAACTTTACCAATTGGTTTCTAGCAGAAAACCATAGTGTGAGCAGATATTTCTAATCTATTTTGCAATTATTTTTGATTATTTCAAGGTGCTTTTCACTGTGTTTGAAATTCTTAAATCTTTGGACTTCGGTTTTAGCATTATTGAATCCTTTTGTTGCACATCTTTTACATATTGCGAGACAATTACTCTGGTTTATCCTTATATTTTTACCAGCATAAGCAAACCAAGCTTGTCCCCTGTAATCAATATCAAATGTTGCAATTTTGCAACAATCTGCCTCTTTTGTTGCAACAAAACCGTAATGTTACAACATACCCGTAATGTTGCAACATATCCGTAATTTTACATATTATACATAATGTTGCAACATAAACACGATGCAGTTAGACCGCTTTTAAAAAACATTATTATTATTATAAACATAAACACAAAAAATTTTATCTATTAATCATCTAATTACAGTAAATAAGAATGTGGATCTCCATTTTCGTATATATCGCTTTTCTTGAAGATGGTTGATATCCAAGATTTATTGCTTTTAAAAAATCAATGAAAAACGGGGTTTCTACAAGGCGGAAAGGTAATGCATGATTCTTCTAAATCAACTGAACAAAATAGCCATCAATATAACGTTGTCCAGAATGTTCAAGAGTTTAGAAAATGTAGACTTTGTAAAATCAATTCATTTATTTCATTTTTGATAGTTCAAATGCTTTTGAACATCGAGTAACACAAGAATGTAAAAGATATGGTCGGGCACCTTTAAGAATGATAAACATGGTTTACATGTAACTTGGTAATGTCCATTACCAAGATGGTTACCACGTGTAAAATATTCCTAAATATCACTATATTTTGGACCAAGTTTATTTTTGTTGTCAGTCATCTTTAATTATTATATTCGTGAGAGAAAAGAATGATATCATTAGAAAAGTAAGGATCATACTTTTTGTATAATAAATATTACAACGCTACGGTTAGTTGCAACACTGTAATACCGTAATTTTACATTACGGATGCCAACTCTAAAGCAAACACATTTGTTTTCCACCAAGCTTTCTTAACATTTTTTTTAAAAAAATATTCGAATAAAAAGTTAGTAACACTGGAATACTAGCTTCAAAAATATTAGAGCAAAAATTTTATTTATTAATCTATATACTTCAAATTCTTCTAATAAATGAACATGCTTATGATTATTCCTAATACTAAGTAAAGCTTCTGACAGACCAGATTTAGGTGGATTAAGTGTTAATATTAACCCAAAATTTTGGATCAGTTTCGAGTTTGATCCAAATGTTTTAAAGGCAAACCCAAGTCTGATTCAAGACCAACCCGAAAATTTTAGGTTGATTTTAAGTTTGTTTTGGGTTAATAAGAAAATTTTGTGATAAATTTTCCATCTGAATTTTACTAATTAATATTAAATATAAATAAAAATAAAAGTCAAAAGAGTTATATTGGTTTGAAAGCCATAATTGGTGTTGTGCATGACACAAAACACAATTTGTGATGCAAGATGTAGTCCAAGACAATTCATAATGCAAGACATAATTATGACACAAGACTAGTGATGGTTGCTGAAACTAACCCATAATTTAGGCATTTTGGTTTAGGTTTAATTTCACCCACGAAAATTTTCTGCAAAACTTAAACTGCAGGAGAATACCAATGAACAATTAATATTAAACCTACTGTTTAATTTTCAACCACAGAAGTGTTTTTATTAAACAAAAAAAATTATTTTGTTTTGTTATTATATTAAATTATAAAAATGTTTATTACAGTTATTTTTGTAATTAATAAAAAATGTCAACAGCATTCCAATAAATCCGTTTTATTTATAACGTTTCTTCAAACATGATGAATTTCAAAACTGCACAATGATACACACATGCTTTGCCTACATGGAAAAAAGGACAGGAAGTTGATCTCATTTGGGACATGCTGCAACAAAACCAGACAAAGTGAATATATGTGTTACCAAGAATTTCAGGGTTCAAAATTTAATCATGTAACTTAATATTAAACAATTTTACAATGTCTTTGGTTTTTTCTTAAGTGATATATATATAATATAAGAATTTTTCATTTTTCTCTATTGTAAATTGTAATAAAAAAATTAATGAGGTCAAGCATCTTAAATTTAGAAAGAATACAAATAATGCAATAATGATTACCTGTATTTTTTTCTTTTCTATTTGGTGTATTAAATGTTGGGATCAAATCTATGTCAATATTTGGAGTGTGCAAACTAGTAACTGGTGTATTATCTAATGATCTGATATGATTTATGTCTTGTTTTAATAACAAATTCAAATTATAAACCAACTTCAACAAATTTATAAATGTTAATTCAAAATGTTCTTTTTTGTATGGAATGTTGACTGTTTAACTCGGCATAAAGGAAATATATTATAGTACATAATATAAGCATCTAAGCTTATATCTATAAAAAAGCACTTTTACATTAATAATAAATTTTCAATTATTACTAATACATACCATGTGCATGTAAAAAGATAGTTTGAAAAAAAAAATCCTTTGTATCAAATGGTAACCTGGATGAAAAATTTCTTAATAAATTACACCAAGAATCTTTAGCAAATTTACATAATCGTGTATAATCTTCATTTATGTGATCACAAGCATTCTTTTCAAAAGGTCCATCCATAGATTATTTCCCCAAAAAGGTACCCCCATGTGAAATTTAATTGTTGTTAAAAAGTTCCAGTTGACTCTAAAAATTTTATTATGGTTGAAAATCGCTTGCTATATGAAAAACAGATCTTTTTTTTGGGGAATTGTTATTCGCGCCTTCCGTTTTTGTTATTCGCACCCCACGTGACTAAGTGTAGTAATGTGACCAATGAATGGCTTAAAATGTGATTTTATTGGTCTTAGTTACGGATAACAAAAATGGGGACAAATTCCTTTTTTTTTTTTGTATATAATAATTTTATTCGTGTAACGTTTATGTTGAATGACACTTGATCTGTCATGTCCCAACTAGTGTGTATATAGCAACTGGTATGACTATGAATGATAGATACCATTAAAGAAAAGTCCATTATAAATAAACCAACTCGTTTGTTACCAATAAAAAATATAAAAATGATTATTATGATTACTGCAATCTTTTTATTTTTTATGGAATTCCAAAAAAAAAAAGTTGCGTGCAACATTCTAAAAATGACAAAAATTGGCGTGATAATGATTTTCTGGTCTATTTCTGATAAATCCGGTTGAAATTATAATTAGTATTAGTATTAGATAGTAATAGCAACCAGATTCAAACTGGATTTGTTGTATTCCATTACAAATTTGAAAGTTAAAAAAAAATTTAAAATTAAAAAACATAAAACCGTAAACGTAAAACAATAAATTCTCTTCAATTGTTCCCAATTTACATTTAGAATTCAAATTTTTTTTATCGACATAGAACTTCTAACAATTTATCAAGATAAATTTCTGAGGATCCTTTTCATGTATTGTGTGTATTGTGTGTGTGCGATTTAAATCATTCTAATTATATTGGAAACACGTTCAATTTTATCCATTTAAAATTATCGAATTCATGTTTTTTAATTCGGATATTAACCCACAAATGGATATAATGAGATTAATAGGTGTTTAGGACAAAAAAATTTCTTCGATTTTATATGAATCCTTGGCAGTAGATTTTTTGGTGTAGTGTAACTATTTTACTATGATTAGATATTGATTATCTGCAATTTTTAATACATATAATCGGCGAAACTTATGTTACAATTTTATAGAAAGAAAACCCAAATTTATTAGCAAATATTTGTTATTATTGTTATTGTTATATTCGTCCCATGAAAACCGGTTTATCCTGCTGATCATTAAATAAAAATTTATTCTCGTCCCTTAAAAATTTAAGGTACCAGTATTTTTATTAGTACTAAAGGCTTATATTTTGTAACCTTAAAATTAAAATTAAATAATAATAATAACAGGAACCGAATTAGTTTGTGAAGCATAAATCATTAATATTAGCAAATTGAATTGACTGTTTTATAAATATTAAATATTTGGTACACAGGATTCTAAACTTTAAATATTGTTTCGAGGTTTACATTTTACAAAATGTATAAAATAAGATGAATCCACAAAACAAAAAAAAAGATAAATTTTAAAAAACTTCTTTGTATATCGCGCGATTAATTCTCAATTTAGAAAACAATCACTATTTTACAATAATCGATATTTAAAGAATTCAAAATCCAACAATTCAAAATTCAAATTTTGATATATTCAAACAATTCAAAATTCAACAACCAATTAATATTCAAATTTAATATATTCAAACAATTCAAAACTCAATAATTAATTATAATTCAAAAAAATAGATTCATTTATTCGTCAATAATTCAATAATAATAAAAGATATATAAAGCATTATTTATGGTCTTTTTGTGAAGAAATAAAAAAATTTTCATAAAAATTTGAATAATTCAAAAAAAAAAAAACAATGAACAATCTCAATAACACAAGCTCAGGTATAAATTTAGTTGATGAAGAGTTCAAAGATCTTCGACTTAAAGGTGCAATTTGTATTGTTCTCTTTAGCACAATTAGTAGTATATCATCTTTTTCAATGTTTTTCTGGATAGTTTATCAGAAAAGTTCAATGAATAATGTTATCACCAAATTAGTAATGAATTTATTAGTTGCTGATTATATTCAAAGTTCTGGCTTTAATTTATCATATTATTGGATTGTAATGGGTAGAATAGTTCCAAATATATTATGTGATGCTCAAGGCTTTTTGATAAATGTTGGTGATGTAACTTCAGGTAATTATATTAAAGAATCTCATCACTATCATTGTTTATTCATAATTCATAATTCCATAATTTATAATAATTATACATGACATATATAGGATTATGGGCATTAGCGATATGTGTACATACTTATATGTTGGTAGCACATTCATATGAATGTCCACATTTAGTAGCTATAAGCATGTTGATAATTTGGCCTTCAAATTTAGCATTGTCATCTATAGGATTCATTTTTCAAATGGGAACTCAAAGCAAATTTTACGATTTTGCAGAAGGATCTTGGTGTTGGATTTCACGAGATTATGAAGTTTATAGAATAACATTTCATTATGGAATAATATTATTTATTGCTTTGGCAATGATAGTTTTTTATTTGCTGATGTTTGCTATTTTGTACAGACGTCAAAGATTAATGTCAATGCAAAATTCTAAAAAAGTAATACAAAATGTTAATAAAAAATTAGTTTGGTATCCTATAGTGTACATCGTTTTAGTATTTCCGTTGGGTTTACGTGAGTACTTTGATATTTTCTTGATTTTGTTGCGTGTTTAATAAATCTTCACTGATCGATCATTTTATGTATATGAAATAGTGCGAATTATTTCTATTGCTAGAAAAGATGAACCTATTTCGTTTGTATAGTAAGTGGTTATTTAAATAATTGATTTATTTTATTGATCGATTGATTAAAAAGTGACCATTAATTAATTAATTATTAGTATAATACCAGCAGCATGCAGTTTTACATCAGCAGGATTTGTTAACGCACTGATTTACTGTATAACACGTAATCTTGTATCGTTGCGGGGTGTACGGGGAATTGTGCCAAAAATTCGTAAACGTGTAACAATAATATCATTGTCAACAGTAACATCAGCAACAACATCATTTTCAACATCAATTAAAGACGAAAATCAAGAAGATGGAGATCACAATATTGATGTGATAAGTAAAATTGAAGATGTCGAATTAAAATCAAATTCACCTCCATCGAAAGGAAAGATTTATTCTAAGAATAGCAATATTGATATAGATCCAAATCACAGATCAGATGATCACAATATTGATATAATAAGTAAAATTGAAGACGTCGAATTAAAATCAAATTCACCTCCATCGAAAGGAAAGATTGATTCTGAAAATAGCAATATAGATCCAAATCATAGATCAGATGATCACAATATTGGTGTAATAAGTAAAATCGAAGATGTCGAATTAAAATCAAATTCACCTCCATCAAAAGGAAAGATTGATGAAAATAGCAATAGCAATATGGATCCAAATCATAGATCAGATGATCACAATATTGGTGTAATAAGTAAAGTCGAAGATGTCGATTTAAAATCAAATTCACTTCCATCAAAAGGAAAGATTGATTCTGAGAATAGCAATATAGATCCAAAAAATTCTAGATCAGATGGTGATTGCTCGGATAGATCAAATTCACCTAATTCATTTATTAACATTGTGAAATAATAATTAGTTGTTTAGATAACACTGATAGCAATAGTGATGTTAATAGTAATAGAGCATTTGACAAATTTGATTTTTAAAACTTTGATAGTATTATTGTATATTATGTTAGAATTTATTATTATTTACATATTTAATATAATTTTTGTTCAAAAAATTTTAATTTAAAAATAATATTTATCCCCAATCTTATTTTTACGCTGTCAATTTCAATATTTACTCCTTCTGGAAGCTCTGTAAGGCACATTCCGCAAAGTAGTCCAACTAAGCAGTAAGAACACCGTGGACTAATAGATTGATTTTTTCCTAGTTCGTATCGTATACAAAGAATACTATTATAAAAACTTAACCCTGAGCCCAAAGTTTACTTTCATAATAATGCTAATACCGATGGACGTTGTTTTCCAGGGGTGACAACCAGTTAAGGACTGATTTAATAGTTTTTTAAACGTGAGTTACATATTAGTAACTTTGGACTGTAAATTGTGTGCATAGGTTTTGACACATTCAATTCATTTATTTATTTTACAAATTTATTTATTTATTAAACCTTATTTACTATTGGATTTTTATTTTGAATCCATACCCCTCTTTTATACCCTATTATTTTAACCTCGTTTATTCCATTGAGTTATATCCCTATCCCCAATTTTTTGGCTCCATTATATTCCCATTTTAAGGATATATATATACAAGTGTAACCTAACGTTTACAATAAATTTTACAAATTTTTTGGCGTCGTTTTTGATTTCTTAATATTAATAACAATGGTTTTTTTTTTTTGGTGGCGACTTGATTGATTTTTTTAATAACAAAGAAATTATTCTTTTTTCTTTGGTGGCGAATTGGTTGATTCCTTTAGCAAATAACAAAGAAATTAATTATAAATTATTCTTTTTTTTCTTTTGTGGTGAGTTTGTTGATTCCTTTAACAAATAACAAAGAAATTAATTATCAATTATTCTTTTTGCTAGCGACTTGATTGATTCCTTTAACAACAAAGAAATTAGTTCTTTTTTCTTTGGTGGTGAGTTGGTTGATTCCTTTAACAAATAACAAGGATAAATTTTTTTTTGGTGGCGACTTGTTGATTCCTTTAACAACAAAGAAAGACATGGCTGATTTCTTTTGACAATAAAAAAAAATATCCTTTTTTTCACAGTTGTGGCAAAGTATCTTTTTTACATGTAAAAAGAACTTGGTTTTGACTTTGGCATAATATGTACACATTCTTTTATCCTAATAATTGAATAAAATAATATCCCAATAAAATTTATAAATTCATAAACTGGAATCTATTATTTCTATAGAAGGAGGAAGAAAAGCATTTCAAATTGCAAAAAGATTCTTAGAACAACAAGAATTTGCTACAAAAAAAAGATGTCAAGTATGTCAGTGAATTAATAAAACGTTTAAATAGTTATTAATATTGAATATTTTAAATTAAAAACCACGTGAAATGATTAACTGTTTGAAATATACCCCACAAAAGTACTGATACAAAAAGGGGATATAAAAGAGGGTATGACTGTATACTAAGTTACTAATTAATTATTTTTTATCATGATTTTTGTTTGTTTATTTGTTTATTTGTTTATTTGTTTATTTTGTCATATATAATGATTTGAAAAAGAACTTTTGGATCCTTTGTTAACAAAGGCTGCCGTGTTACGTATGGTGGAGAACTGAATGACGTGTAACAAACAAATTTTTCGTACAGTTTATTTTAATTGCTGATTAATTGATAAGGATATAAATTGAAAAATGAAAATTGCATTATTTAAATAACAACTTCATCATCACCAAACTCTAGTGATCGATTTATTGTGATTAAATAATAAAAGGATTTCATCATTCTTTGCTTCTATATATTTTTATCACTTTTAAAATCTTCAAATTTAAAACTTACAAAAATCTGTACCAAAACCTGTCTTATGTGCTATGTAAAGGTCGTTCTACACGACTGATAATGATTGTCAGTAAAATTATTCATTACACATGAACAAAACTTTAAATGGCAATTGCGGCTGAAATACCTAACCAAACCTATTTTTTTTAAAAAAAAAGATAATTGAACTTTTGACTTGTTATTTTAATTAAAAAATCATGTCTCAATTAACAGACTTTAAACAAGGAAGAATAATTGGATGTTGGAAAGCAGGTGAAAGTACTCATAACATTTCTGGTGTACTCAATCATTCTCAGTCACAAATAACTTGTGCAATAAAAGTGCTTAAGGAAGATGATAAAACTACTATTACTCCTCCAAAAAAAATATAAATGAATTAGTTTCTTATTTAATGGATGAATGAGCTAATTTTGATCCTGATTGTTTGCAAAAATCGACTAATTGACTATTTAACACTTATAAAAGATTGCTCAAATCCCGCAACACTGCTTTTTTCCTTACTTGGGATAGATTGTATGATTTTGGTTTTGATCCACTATTTTTTTTTTGTAAATTCAGTTTGTTGTTTGCCTATATTTGTAAATAAATGCTCATTATACATGAGTGAACAAATGATCGAACAATCAAACAGATTAAGTGAGCATTGAGCTGATTAAAAAATAAATTTTTACTAAACACAATTTTTTGGGAAACATGAGATGAAAAAAATGAGACGTTTCTTTGATTTAGTTAAAAATTTTTTTTTTACTCTGAAAATATCATTAATGATTTATTTATTACTAATTATTTTCACTATTTGTTCATCTGATGTTAAAAAAATTGATCTTTCCTTACCTTTTTGGTTTTATTTTTTTATTTTTTATTTTATTTTTTATCTACCACGTCCATCTATTGGAGAGGCTTCTTTTCATTTGTTTGCTGCGGTTTAACCTTTGATCAACTAACCTCCATGATAGTCATTTAATCAATCATTACTTTAATAATCACAAATGATCTTGTAACAATTATTATATTGTTGTACTTTATTAAGACTTACTTTAATAAAATGTATGAACAATAAGAATTTGTTTTAAAATATTATAACTGCTGTGTTCATTAAGGTTTCTGGTCCAAACTGTTTTCTCAAAGCCCAAACTAGTTTGGGCAATTTGGGCTTCTCAACATTTTCTATAAGCATGAACATTAAAAAACTATATGAATCAACTTGTTTTAACTTAAACAACTTTAAAATAATTTCGCCCAATTTCGGCTAATAACAAAAAGTAGTTTGGGCTTATAAAAAAATAATTTTTGCCCAAAGTATTTGGGCAATTTCGGCTACTAATAGAAGCGATTTCGACCAGAAACCTTAGTGTTCATATATATTACTAAATCTATTTACTGTAGTAGCAAAACCCTACAAAGTGAACAAAAAATTATAAAATTATATATATAGGGATAAGTGTATATGAAAAATAATAATAAATATAATGGTTCTAATGAATATTGAAAAGCAATTGATTTTTTAGAAAAAGGTTGTGATTGTGGTTGCTCTTCAAGAATTTCTAAGGAAGAATTTGCAGAGTTAAGGGAATCCTTTCAAGCTCTTTCTAAATCAGAACAAGGCATATTTTTAATGGTCCAACTTAAGACAATGGATGGTGGATCAACAAGTGCTAGCAGATGCCTTAAAAAGAAAGCCAGGTCTAATAAAAGAACTTTCTATTGCTGAGATCACAATACACTTCTTTGTCAATAAACTTATCTCAATATGTTAGGAATTGGTAGAACTTATTTTGAAAATATTAGAAATCATTTGATAAACAGTGGTCTTCTGCCAAGAATTCATGGTAATATTAAAAGAATGCCTCGATGGAAAACCAAAATGTTGATTGATAAAAATGTTGCAGAAGTAGTAAATAATCTTCTAGAAAATTATGCAGAATTCTATGGATTATCCAAGTCCAGGAAGAAGTAACAATAGAATAACTCAGTCAATTGTATTTTTACCAGCTGAAATGAGTTATATATAAATCAGTCCACAGGGATTTTCTGGCTGGTCTAGAAAAAGATAGCAAATTGAAATCCTTAAAATATTAATATGATGCATACAGAAAATTATGACATCAATTGACACCAGAAATTCAAATTATGAGTCCAAGGACTGACCTATGTGATACTTGTCAACATTTAGAGATGGTTTACATTATAATGCTCATCATGAGGAAGAAGCTAAAGATTTACTTAAAAGATTTAGAACATTTATCCAAGGCCAAACTAGAAGGAAATTATTATAATAAAAACACCAAATTAGCAGAAGAACAAAGGAAATTAGTTAATCAATATTATTCAAAGGGTAAAACACAGTATTGTAGTACTGATGATACTGCTCAATATAGTTATGATAGAGCCCAAAATGTTCATGTGCCACATTTAGATCAACAAGTAAGTAAAATCTATTATCTTAGTCCATGTAAAGTTCATTTATTTGGTATTCAAGGTGAAGCAGTAAGAGAACAAATTAATTATGTTCTTAATGAAGATGAAATTATAGGAAAAGGACTCAATGGAACTCTTAGCATGATTTTGATGGAATTAAAAAATTGAATAAAGGTGAAAAGCATTTAAAGATTACTTGTGATAATGCTGGGAGACAAAATAAAAATAATGTAACAATTTGGTTTTACTTGTATTAGTAATTTGTGGTTATTATGAAAGTATTGAATTAAATTTCATGATTCCTGGACATACTAAATTCAAATGTGATGGTAGTTTTGGTTTAATAAAAAAACTCTATAGGAAAACAAGAGTAGATTATCTGGGTCATGTGGTTGATGTGGTGAAAAGATCTAGTCCAGCAGGATTGAATAAAGCTCAATATTATGAAGGTGGAAAAAGTTTTCAATACTTAGATATTAAAGCAATTTTGGGAATTTATTTCAAGAAATTACCAAGCATAGCATAATGGACATTCGTTTATCACATTGTGACTTGATTTCATTGGCTAAATTTTACGATATCACCCTTCAAAAAATCACACAAAATTCAAATTTTATTGGCTTGAAGATCTTTTACAAAAACAAAATTTATAATTTATCAAATATTAAAATTGTTTTAGGATGGTCAACATCCAATGTAGTTGATTGAATATGGATATAAATGTATGCATAAAATCATAATAAATAGTTTCCTTTGCAATCCCAACCATTTTTCCTCTTTGCATTGGGTGGGTTAATTAACCAAATATGAAGAAGAATGCACTTCAAAAATTATAAATGCTACAATTATGAACACACGTGTTTTTTCCTACACATTCACATCATTTTGAATGATATCAAATATTCATATGCCTATATATCCCTCCCACATATTAATTGAATTTTACATCATGATCAACCATTAATGTTATTAAATATGCAATGAAGTATACCTATTATTTATATTAGTTGTAATACACTTTATTATCTATCTAGTTTTGATTTTCGAGGATTCTCTGTCATCTTTGAAATAATAATAATAATAAAAAATAGAATTGAGATATTTTTCCTTATATTTTTAATAATAGTTGTATATATATACAAATAAACATATTACTTCTTTACCTGCTTATTATGTCTATATATTAGTTTTTCTTTGAGGATTCTCTGTCATCCTCGAAATAATAAAAAAATAGTTATATATATATATATATATATATATATATATATGGGGGGTTTTCTAGCAAAAGGTAGTACCAACCAATACTGATCAACTAATGTTGCTTCAAACTCAGACACTAAAAACAGCTCAAGCACATTATTATTATTATTGCGTATTACTATTATGTGCAGTTAACTTCAAAAGTCGAAAATTCGAAAAAGCATCAATTTAACACAACTAATATATATGTAAAGACAATTTGATTTTATGAAGTGTAATAATAACGAATAGTTTTAATTGTAAAAAAGAAGAGCATTTTGTTTTGAAGGAAAAAAACAAATAGATTAATTAAGTAAAATTTATCCCATTCTTTTTGCATTATTGCAATATACATCTTTATTCATTCCCGGGACACACTTTTGCATAACTTGGAACTTTTGATAAACCTTTTATCATTATCATTATTTCAAGTGTTTTTACTTACATCAAGTGGTTTTAATTACGTCAAATGATTTTACTTACTTCAAGGACTTTTACTTTAGTCAAATCATCAAAATAGCCCTGGCGAGAGACTACCTTTAGTCAATACTTTAGTTACGTCAATGGCTAAAGTCAAAAGTTTCATCATACATCATTACTGGACAATAGGCGCAATATCTTTTCATCATAATCTTTATTATTAGTTTTCAAATTTATGAAACCATGGTAAATATTTTCAATGAGGTGGTAAAACATCAATCATACAGTAAAATAATGATACAAAATCATCATTTAATTTATATGGTTTGCACTTAAGCCAAGCCTCCAAATAATTATCTGACGTGAAAAATAATGTCATGCTAGCATCAGTAACCTTTGCATCGCCTAGCATAACTGTTTATATATATGAAAATATTTTGCAGACAATCAAGTATATATTGTATTGAGCAGAACTAAATAAATCTTGAAATTTGAATTAAATGCTAATGAATAACAATAGTTAATAAAAATGAAATTAAATGATCTGTAATAAAAAGTCTGCTATTTAAGAATATATTAATTTATTTAATAAATATTAAATTTTACATTTTGATTTCTTTAAATTGTTGATCTTGTTGATCATACCATAATTCAAATTTTTCATTATTATTACTACTACTATTGGGATTGTTTTTATCAATTTTATAAATCGAAATAGCAATTTGAAATTCTAAATCATTTGTTATTTTAACAAAGTTATTAAAGTAATCTTTATACTTTAATTGTTTGATAGTACCTGTGGCAAAATTGTATGATTTTTCTATTAAATTTGTTAGATTGGAAAGTTTGTAGGATTTGGTGATGAGATAATTTTTGACCTCGTCAGTGTTGCTGTGATGTAACTTTATAATTAATCGTTCTTCCTAATTGTTTAGATGATATTATATAAAAGAAAGATTTGCTTAGTCAATCAATTGTATAATGAATTAAAATAAGAATAAAAACCAACTTGCATTTTTTTCATTCTTAATTTCTTCCTTATTATTATTATTGTTATTATTATCATCATTGTTATCATTAATACTGCTACTATTATTACCATTACCATTACCATTATTAATCTCCTCAACTTCAAGATCATCAAACAACTTAATTAAATCAACTTCAACATTATTATTTGAAGTATTATTATTATTACTGCTGTTATTATTATTGCCATTTTTATTGTTTTTTGGAGTTAGGATTTTGAATTTTTGATAACAAAATTTGTCACTGTCACTATTATTATTATAATTATTAACTCCTTTTTTATTCTCATCATAATCATTCATATTTTTATCACTATTACTATTATTATATTTGTAGTCATTACCATACTTCTTATTTTTATTAAAATTACCATCATGCTTTTTTTTACTATAATTGTTACTATCTGAAATTCTCCCCCAATCATCTTTCCAACTTGAGTAAGATTTATTTTTTCTAGCTTTTATCATATAATTTATGTGCAATCCTGCTATATCAATTTCTTGTTCTGATACATCTTTATGCATATATAAAGTAATTGATTTTGCACTTTCTTTATGCAATTTTAAAATGTTATATAAAATTTTAGGTTATATTGATTATATTGATTGATATATATATAAATTATCATATTCATATATATATAAACTTACTCATATTTTCAGTAATTACTTTTTTCTTTCCGGCTGTGTACTCTGAATTCCAATTATAATTAATCTACACATTGATATAAATGTTCTAAATCTTTTAAGTAAATCTTTAGCTTCTTCCTCATGATGAGCATTATAATGTAAACCATCTCTAAATGTTGACAAGTATCACATAGGTCAGTCCTTGGACTCATAATTTGAATTTCTGGTGTCAATTGATGTCATAATTTTCTGTATGCATCATATTAATATTTTAAGGATTTCAATTTGCTATCTTTTTCTAGACCAGCCAGAAAATCCCTGTGGACTGATTTATATATAACTCATTTCAGCTGGTAAAAATACAATTGACTGAGTTATTCTATTGTTACTTCTTCCTGGACTTGGATAATCCATAGAATTCTGCATAATTTTCTAGAAGATTATTTACTACTTCTGCAACATTTTTATCAATCAACATTTTGGTTTTCCATCGAGGCATTCTTTTAATATTACCATGAATTCTTGGCAGAAGACCACTGTTTATCAAATGATTTCTAATATTTTCAAAATAAGTTCTACCAATTCCTAACATATTGAGATAAGTTTATTGACAAAGAAGTGTATTGTGATCTCAGCAATAGAAAGTTCTTTTATTAGACCTGGCTTTCTTTTTAAGGCATCTGCTAGCACTTGTTGATCCACCATCCATTGTCTTAAGTTGGACCATTAAAAATATGCCTTGTTCTGATTTAGAAAGAGCTTGAAAGGATTCCCTTAACTCTGCAAATTCTTCCTTAGAAATTCTTGAAGAGCAACCACAATCACAACCTTTTTCTAAAAAATCAATTGCTTTTCAATATTCATTAGAACCATTATATTTATTATTATTTTTCATATACACTTATCCCTATATATATAATTTTATAATTTTTTGTTCACTTTGTAGGGTTTTGCTACTACAGTAAATAGATTTAGTAATATATATGAACACTAAGGTTTCTGGTCGAAATCGCTTCTATTAGTAGCCGAAATTGCCCAAATACTTTGGGCAAAAATTATTTTTTTATAAGCCCAAACTACTTTTTGTT